CTACATGAAATTAAGAGACCAGGAGTTGTTACGGCTGCTGGTCAGAACACCTCTGGCTGAAGAGACAGGAGTGCTCACTTCAGACTTGACTTAAGCAAAGGTGGCAGTAATGGGAGGAGGAAAAATTCCAAGGATCAAAGGTTTCCATCAGAATTCTTAGAATGAAAATCAAGTGATATGCACACGTGTGCACCGCAAGCATATCTTATGCGAATAAACCACATTCTGGTTAATGTTTTGGAAGCTGCTCACTATAGTCTCTGCAGATTCCAGGAAAGCTGGGTGGGATCTGGAGAAACTGGAAAGAGAAAAGCAGGCTGGAGCTACACAAAGACCACTTAGGAGACTGAGTATCTGTCTTCAAATCCCGCTGAGCAAGACCAACGGGAAGGCAGAGGCTGGAGAGGGTAGAGATTGAGGTGCTCCCTTTGCAGGAAGACCGGGGGCCCTTGGGGTGCCTTGTGCTGGCTTCAGGATCGGTGTCATCACTGCACCTCTCCCTCTTGATCGCTTTTTTACTTAAATGGATTTATTTACAAAGGACTTCTGTAGTCTTCGTTAAAACAAACACAAACAACATCACTGTGCCATAGATAGAAGCTGAATGAGTGAGTTCAAGGAAGGCGGGCTGGTATCACTCCCTCCTCGGCAGAGGCCCGTGTCTGCGGTCTGGCCTCCATGGGCTCGGAGGAAGATTAGAGGGGTGTAGCAGCACGGGACCCTCTCCCAACCGGGACCCTCTCCCGAGGCAAAGGCAACGTGTGAAGGAGAACTGCAGAGATGAGTCGGCAGTTAGGGCACCCTTGTTGGCGACCACCTCTCCTGCCCTCGGCCAAGGGACGGTGACCCGGTGTGGCCACCCACCCCATCACTGAGGTGCCCCTGAAGTGCCCGGCTGGCCACAGCCCTCTGCACGGGGAGCTCACGTCTCCCAGGCTGCCCTTCGCGGCCCCAACACTCCTGAGGTCGAGCAGCAGGCTATGTCTCTGCAGACTCTGCCCTTGAACTTCACTTCTCTCCTGCAGCTGCCCAAAATCCATTTCCTTCATGAATTTGAAGAAAGTGTTGGCAGTATCTGGATCTTTTCTGTTAATTCATCCAGAAAGCGTTGATGGAGCTTCTATCATAAGTCAGAGAGAGAAAGGCAGAGATAGAACTGGCCCTTGCAGCCCAAGAGGACGAACTAGGCATTCCCACAGGATCATTTCTTGCTGCTTTCAAATGAGCCCCTGAGGGCACAGGGATGGCTGAGGGGGCGGGAGGAGGCAGCCCATTGCGGCCTGGGGCCAACGGCAGGGGCTCCCCAGAGAGGTGAGCCCTGAGCAGCCCTGGTGGCAGGAGAGCTGCTGCCTGGGGGAGAGGCAGGAGGCTGACCACCAGCACAGAGATGTGATCAAGGCCTGGTGACCATCAGAAAACACTAAACCCACCCAGACACAGGAGGCGACCTAAAGGCACATGGCCAGAAGCAGTTCTGCATTTTGACCAGAGAAGCTAAGGTTCAAGTCCCAGCTCTCCTCGTGCTGTGCCCCTCTGGATGAATTATTTATTGCCCCAGAAGCTCAGTGTTCCCACCAGAAAGGTAGAGACCATCCTGCCTCAAAGGCCACACGCTCACCATGCAGGTTAAGTGGGAGGCTGCACCATGGGGACGTGGGGGCAGGGGGCTGAAAGCCGGCATGGCACAGGCATGGAAGGGTCGGGAAGGAGCCCCTAGCACATCCTACTGGGCCAGGGAAGGCATGACAGGAGTCTCAGGGCTGCGGTAGCTGGAGACACCAGCCCCCCAGGGAACACCCCAAATGCTACCTCCTGCTGAGCAGGCCTTTTCCTTCAGAATCCTCTACACAAGTGTAGGTTCAAGTTACCTGCTGCCCAAGTGCCTCCCTGCTCAGGCCCCACCACAGAGGCCGCGTCTAGGTTAAAGCCAGCAACTTTTAGGGAAGTGCTACATCTCTGAAAAAAGTCTATGATGCTTCATCCCCCTGAAGAAGTATTTCTTATCAAGATAGTTGCGCACTGGAATGTTCCCTCCCAACAGCTCCATGATGCTGAAAAGATGCCCCAAGCCTCGTTCACACAGTCATCAAGCATCATTATTAACTGGCAGCGCCCCCCCAGCTCTTCCCACATCCTAACTGTCCCCATTTTAAACATTTGATTAGAATTCTCTGTTGCTTTTTTTTCACAGCTCTCCAAATAGCAGCAAGGAACACAGCCCTCTGGAGAGAGCATTCTAGCAGGGGAGGGGGCCACAGCCCTCGGAGTCCGCGGGGGGCTAGTCTGTGCCCTCACACCAGCTCCGTCTGCACACAGGGACGAGTTCTGGGGGAGTCTGGCTTCTGACTCTTGGAACAGGGTCTTGGGGGCTGCCGGTGAGACAGCACTCAGTACAGGGAGGAAGAATTCTGGGCTCAGCTAACAGAATGTTTGCAACCGGCTCGCTGCAAAACTTTCCAGAGTCCTCCATACCCTACCATGCATCAGCAACCCTAGGGGGTCGGTGGGCAGTGTGGGGGACCTCCATCCACCTCAGAAGCAGGTGTTAACAGCCTGAGTCACCCTCCGCACTGCCCTCCAGCTCGGAAGGGCTCCAGAATCTGACAAGTCAGCCTCAGGCGAGGCCTGGCGGCAGAGGGACTAGCACTGGTGGACTACGGACTAGCACTGGGGAAGGGGAGGTGCGGAAGGCCAGGGTGGCCAGGAAAGGAGGTGTGAAGTATTTATTACCTAGAAAACTCCCATGCAGTGAGCGTGCATGTGGTCGAGATGTCCCTGGAAACTGAGGCCGTAGTGAAACAACAGAAGACAAAACGGGCCCGCAAAGGAGGTTTCCACCAGGGTCTCGTCTCAGAGAGGTTGCCATAAAGCAACTGGATGTATCACAGGATCTGCCGTGAATGGCCCTCAGGTCCCAGAGGGCTTGTTAAAATACAGATTGCTGGGCATCCAGCATTTCTCACTCAGAGGTGGGGAGCCCCAGGTCCTGCCTCTCCAACAAGCCCTCGAGATGCCCATGATGGAGGCCAGTGCACACTTTGTTAGCCTTTGAGGTCTGGCCTTTGAGGTCCCCATGTCCCCTCCCCCACGCAGGAGAACATTCTGAGGGCCACCCTCCATCCTCTCAGCAACACTGGGCCAGGTGCCAGGTACAGGAGTGCGTGACCCTTTGTCCAAATAGCTCACCAAGCACTTAAGGCCTCCGGAAGACAGCTGTCTCCTTCCTATCCTCCCACGATCTCTGGCTCAGGGCAGCTCTAATTACCACTTGACGTTCATTCATTCACTCAACAAACATTCCGTGTGCCAGTGCCCCCTGCTTACAGACCTCCAGCCCCGGAACCATGAGACATGCATTTCTGCCCCTGAGCCGCCAGCCTGGGGCTGCGGGTGGAAACAGTCTGAATGGGCTGAGACAGCTCCCGTTCTGCTTGTGCCAATGGGTGGCTATGAGACCCAAGTGGACTCCAAAGATCGAATAAGTCTCATCCTTCTTTTCATCCAAAACACCCTTCCCTGTCCAGCACTGGCCCCTTGCAGTGGGCTGTGCCCTCGAGACCCTAGCTGGCAGACAGATGCCCTGTCCCGTGAAGAGCCTCTCAGGCTGCCGGGACGCAGGACCCAGGGCAGTGTGTGCCACAGGGGCCAGTGTGGCTGACCTGGTCAAAGGGCAAATCCAGGCACCCCCTAGAGATTCCAGCTTCCAAAAGCCGCAGAGGGCTCCGCCGTGGCATTAGCATCATGCAGAGGACGCGAGCCAGCTGCCCCGGCACCATAATTAGACTTTCATGGGGTGTCAAGCAGCCTGGCCCGACTGCCAGCTGGGGTCCTGTTCCATCTGGTGGCCTCCGTTAATGAACCCGTAAGGGACTGGGCCGGCTCATTACAGGCAATGCAAGGGAGCAGGGGAACCCCCTCATGCTCCCCTAGTTCCCCCCTCCTGGGCCCCTCCCCCCATGTTCACAATGAGACCAGGAGGGAGGAGAGGGGCAGGAGCTGAGGGTCCTGGCTGGACGGCTCCGTGACAGCTCAGCCAGATGGGCTTGCTTGTGCGGCTCGTCAGGCGTTTAGGGGGCGCTGAGGCTGAGCTCAGCCCTGTCTGGCCTCGGGTGGAGACACGGAAACATCAAGATCTGCCTCTTTCCAGGGGCTGCTCCACAGGCACGTTTGGACAAGTGCCACCTCCTTGGTCCCCATGTTTAAATGGGGCACAATACCCACCTGGCACAAAGTCAGTGCCCCTTGAACGGGAGCAGCAAGGTATCAAGAGGCACCAACTGGAAGCACTTCTAAGTGGCAGGAAGCAGTGAGCTTTTCCCCTACTTTCCTGAATATTCTAACTTGTACACACAAGCATTTTTTACCTGTATCATTTGAAAAAATAACAAACTTTCTCCTAAAAAAACGGGCTGGAAAATGATATTTTGTCTGCCAAGGCCTGGACAGTGCCCGGGACGCAGCCAGCAGAAGCACCTCCAGCAGGGAGGGCATCCCGGCGCCCGTGGACAGGCGAGCCTTGGGTTTGTAAATGGCTCGCCCTTGACAAAAGCAGTTTCTCACCCCCAAATGTCAGGAGAGGAAGGCACAGAGGTGAGCACCGCGGCTGGGGTGTTGGAAGGAAGAGCACACCCTGACCAGACAGGAAGTGCAAAGTCAGACATAGGAGGAGGAGCCCCCAGACACGGACCCCGGCATGTGACTTGAACTCCATTAGTAAGGAAAGTCCGTCGCCCTGTGCCACACGAAGTTGCCTTGAGGACAGTGCACTGGGCAAAATAAACCTGCAGACAGAGCCCCTATGAGTCCACGCCTAGGAGGGGCCCAGAGCGGCAGATTCACAGAGAAATGGAATGGGGGGTGTCGGGGTGCGGTGGGGAGGGAGTGTTCCCAGGGGACAGGGTTTCCTTGGGAAGATGAATCACCGCACCCTCCTCCAAGGAGGCCTGGCCTCCTTTCTGCCAGGCCCCCACCGCCCCACCCGGACCCCTGCGGCCTCTCACTTGAACTGGTGCTCCCGGGAGCTGCGGATCTTGGAGGAGAAGCGCTCGGCCAGCTTCTCCAGGCTGCGGGAGTACTCCAGCTCGATCTCGGCTTTCCGCCGGAAGAATTCCTGGAGGTCTTGCAGCAGCTGCAGACGCGACTCGGACTGCTGCTCCAGGCATTTGAACTGCTCCACCAGCTGCGTGCGGATCTCTGTGGGCACAGGCAAGGGCAGGGCGTGAGGCTGACGTGGGAAGCAGGTACCCCCTTCCCAGCTGGCTCCATCCCGGCCCAGGCACTGCCATCCTGCAGCCCCCTCCCTGCCGCCACCCTCAGCACCCAGTGCCTCCCCGGGTCAGAGGCGTTGGTGGAGCTGGGGCAAAGACCGAGCACAGACCACCCCTTGCCCCACGGTCTACCCTGATGATCCCCGAAGCTGGCTCACAGCAAGTCATAATACAGTGTCTGCCGTGTCACGTGCCGCCAGCATTGCTGTTTCTTCCACAGGATCGAGTAACTTGGCTGCTTTTCCTACAGCAATCAACTACGGAAAGTGGACCGTTTTGCATGTGTGTTGAGGGGAGCACTAGCCATGCTGTAGATAGAAAATGCATTCCACGAAAACAAGCAGGTAGTCATTCCATCGAGAGGTGACCTCCCACGCAGGGCCCTAAGCCTGAGCTGCTCACTCTCAGCAAAAGGAAAATGGGAGCGAGACAGAGTTGTAGCAAGACTTTCTCCAGATGCAGTCGGGACTGGGGGGCTGCAGGGGGTGACAACATTCTTGGGTTTCTGTGTGTATTCCCTCTGAACTACCCTGAGTCCTGTGCATTAGCATCACAGGCAGCCCCACTTCAGGGAACCCCGACTGCCACAGACAGGGTCTGCCACCAGCGTGACGGGGCCGAAGTCAGGGTGTGGAGAGAAGCCACAGCCGCAGCCCCAGGAGCACGTAGCCTCCTCTCCCAGCCCCGGTGTTGTCACCGCTGCCGTCCCATCTCCTTCCCTCGCTCTGGCTCCTGAAAGCCGCTCGACGGTCTCCTCAAAGCACCTTGCTGATGCCCTCCCTGCCTAAAGCACTCACAGCAGCCCCTTGCTGAGAAATGAGTCCAAGCCCTGAGCGTGGAATTCAGGACATCCACCACCCAGCCACGAGCCTCACTCCTCAGGCCTCAGCCTGATGGACTCTCCAAACTTCCAAGCCAGTTCTTGAAATGCCCAGTGCCCCCTGCATAGGTGGGTGCCCTGTCTGAAAAGGGGACCAGCACCAACTTAGCATTCTGCAGAGCAGTGCAGCCTGGCCTAGGGCACAGGAAGACTTCCCCAGGGGTGCAGGCAGTGGGAGTTCTAGGAAAGCAGGTGCCATCGTGTTATAAATTCCAGCTCTTCCCTGCTCTGCTTGAGAGCGTCTCCTCCTAGAAGGTATTAGGCTTCCACTCCACCCCCCTCTCCACAACAGGTCTTCTCCCTCTTTGCAGAACAAAGACCAACTTTACCTTAAACGAAGGAAAAGTGCCCCAAAGTGCCAAGATAGCAGGGTGTGAAAGATGCAATTTAAAGGTTGCTGTTAGCAAATCTTCCTTTAACCAAGGGACCAGAGACTCCTTGCTCTTCAGAGTCTGGTCCATGATCCAGCTGCACGAGTGAAGCTGATGGGCTAATTAGAAACTTGGAAACTCAGGCCCCAATCCAGACCTTCTGAATCCAAATCTGCATTTTAAGATTTATTTATTTATGCATACAAGAGCTGGGGTACAGGCCAGAGGTGTGGGGGATGAGAGAATTCACCTGAGTCAGAGTGGGGAACAGAACAGGCAGGTCTACTGAAATACACTGCTGAGGGGAGGTCTGCTGCACCATGTGGGTAGCTCCCTGGCTGGGGATCGAACTCGTACTGCAGTGGCTGTGGATAGCTTCATAGGTTGCGTCTTAACCCCTTGCGCCACCAGGGAGGCCCCAAATCCGCATTTTTAACAAGCTCTCTGGATGGTTCCCCTGTAGCTTTGCTGCGATCAACCTCCCCCCATCTCCTTACGGAAGCATTTCCGATATTATTTTATGGTTTAGGCTGAGTAACTACTTATCGACGCGCTGCACAAGTGATCACTGTAATGATAAATCAATCAGAAAGAAAGATACTTCGAATTTTACAAAGGAATTTTTTTTCAATGTCCACTTCAATTTATATACATATTTTGGGTAAAAGAAATATGATAATCAATAGAAAAGTTTCAAGCATCAAAATATATTAAAATAAAATTCTGTGAAGAAAGAAGAGAGTTATGAGTTCAAGGAAGTAAAGAAAAGGCACCATGTAAAATTTCTAACTTGTTCCAGGAATGTTCACTGATGGTGGTGGAGAGCAATGGGTGACAGTATACAACCCAGAGACCTGACAATCTCACTGACAGCTACATACACCAAAGAAATCCGTGTTAGTCCACAAAAAAAAAATAAGTAGAATATGTAAATTAGCTCTACAGCAAAGTATGTGAAGCAACTCAAAACATCCATGTAAATTAGACTTATTTTTTGTAAAATCTGAGATACTTGTTTGATGGAATAATACACAGCAATGAAAAAGATGAACTGCTGCTACCTGCAGCCACCTGCTTGAATCTCACCGACTTAAGTTGATGAGAAGATGCAGAACCAGTGAGGCCATGCAGAACTAATTCACCGTGTCAGAGGTCAGGGAAATGGTCACTTTGGGCTTGGGGTATTGACTGGAAAGGGCACATCTTTCTAGAACGCTAAGGACATGCAGCACTGCATTCTGAGTGGTAGGTGCGCTGTAAAAGTTAATTGACCTGTAAGCGATGCTGGAATAAAAAGGCAAAATAAAAGTTGCTGCTCTTTAGTTTCCATTTGCTAGTTAAGAAAGCAGTGTCGTGTTATTGCACAAGGTCAGTATTTACGGTATGGCAGAAAGGATATCCTCTGAAACTACATAAACTTATAGTGAGCCATTTCAGATGTCAAGTTAAAATGTGTGAAGTAAAAGAGATTTCTCCCCCAAAAAGTTCATTTCGAGGGCAGGCAAGCAAAAGGTTTGAAAACCATTGCTTTGGAGCCCACGTGAAGCACTGCTCCTCCCAGGAAGTCCTGGGCAGTCGGGGCCCCTGACCCGCCTCTGAACTCCCATGTTCTACCATTAGTCTCAGGCTGCCTGCACACTGTGTTCATAATTCTCTCATGATGTGTGTCGTATCTGCCTCAGCACCTTGGATGAAACTCAGGGCGGACTCTCCCAGCACACAGGGGTCATCAGGTTATCAGCATTTTACAGCAAATTACTATTTACCTTCACCAAGAGCTTTTACCTCAGGGCTTTCAGTGCTGTGGCTGTGGGAAGCTCACCCAACACAAACACACACACACACATACATGCCACAAACACCACATACTCCACACACGCCACACAGAAACACCACATAACCCCACACGAACATCACACGCACACCACGCACACACAACCACACATCACAGACACCCCCACATGTCACACACACACCCCACACTCAGACCATACACACTCACACATGATACACCCCCATGTCACTGACACAGGCCACACAGGCCACACAGAATACACACTGTAGGGTAAGGTAAAAAGTATCAGGCTTTTCTGCCCTCCCGCCATTAGGATTGATGATGGATCTGTGATCCTGAATGCATGCCTGACGGCGGCACCTGGAGTAGGGTGTGGGCATGCGTAAGTGGGTGCACCTGGGCTGAGAGTCTGATCTTATAAGGGTGGCGTCACGGGGACGCCAGTAGAGAAGCAGCAAAAAAGAGAATGAATGGAGAGAGCAGAACTATGAGAGGAGCAGAGAAGCAGAGACCCCCCAGAGAACGCCGGAGAGCCCAGGCAGGGTGAAGACTTGCTGGGGGCTGGGAGGCCTGCCGGCCTCCCCGCACAACACGTTTGTACACACACCACGCATACTCACTCACCCACGCGGTATTGATGGTGCCCATCTTTACAGATGAAGAAACAGAAGCTCTGCGTAAACCACGACCAGGAACTTGCCCAAGGTCACGCTTCTCTGGCCTGAACCGCACGACACAGACAGGCTGTGACGTGGAGACACCATCATCACTCCCACAAGTTCAAGTCCCGCCGATCAACAGTTATGAAAACGCTCTCCATTGCTTTTCAAATCACCTTTAGACCATCACTATCCCAAACTCGAGATAATCTCAGCATACGGGCTAGCACCTACAGAGCCCACGCTTGCCCCAGCCCGGCGCTCTTCAGACAGTTACCTCGCGGACGCTGGGCGGCATCTGCTCGATGGGGTGCACCGCTGGTGGCTCCCCACCTTTCCCCCACAGATGAGGAGGTGGAGGCTCAGAGGCAGGAGCCTGTGGCCCTAACAGCTGGTGTATGGCGATGAAGCTGGGCATGGAGCCCAGATCCACCCAGATGGGGGCAAAGCCCCGCCCCACACCTCACCAGAGGCCATATTAAAAACAAAACAAAAAAGAATTTACTTCATTTGTATTCAACTTCTTGTGTCCCTTTTGCAACAAGACGGTGGTCCAAAGAGATTATCTATCAGAAAAGCTGCAGCCAGGCTTCCCTCCATGGCGGGCGTAATCAGGAGCCAGTGTTCTCATAGTCAGGGAAAGCTCATAAATCACATCGTGATGACAGGAGATGATTTGGAAGGAGCAGAGAAACCTCCCGATTCTGGCCCCCAGCTGGAGCCTCTGGGCTGGTCACGCAGGGCCTCCAGCAGCCCCAAAGCCCTGGCAGGAGCTGCCAGCCGGGCCCACTCTGGAACCCTGGGGGGATTTGATTACCCATCTCGTTTTTTCTCACTCCCTTCCAAGTCCTTCTCCTCGGGTTGGCCCAGATTTGGTTTTTCTCCTTGAAGATTTCAAAGGGAGTGAAAAAATTAAAATAAAACAGAATTGCTCCCAAGGCACAGGTGTCATTCATCAGACATTCCCCCAGGGAGGGGTTCCAGCCCCAGCACAGCACTGAGGGTCACAAAAATTAAAAGGGGGTGGGGCAGGGAGGAGAGGGGCCGGGAAAGGCGGGAGGGGCTTTCATCTCAGAACCTCACAGCCCAGGATGGCCTGCCTGATAGCCCAGTGCAGCCTCCTGGTTTCACAGACAGGGCCTGGGGTCCGGAGAACCGGCAGGACAAACTCTGCCACTCAGTTCTCCTGTGTCACTCTCCCGATAAGATCCTCCATGGCTC